AGTCATCCTGCATGGCGTTGTGGCGGCTGCTCTGCGAAGCAAGCTTCGGTGGCGGCGATTGGAGTGTAGATGCGACAGAGTCGATTCGAGCATTGAGAGCATCCAATCTGGACGTAGTAGCGGATTGCACAGCCGCAGTGGGTGCGACAATGGACACATCGTTACCAGCATTGACTGATGAGGATGCTGTTGTCAATACCCGCTCGCCGCTTGTATGCGCAGTCGTACCCGCATCGACCTCTGGTTGTAGCGCAGGTTCAGGGGCGCCCTTCTCGGTAGTGTTAAAACCTTCCGCCCGTCTCCGAACCTCGAGATCGATTATCCTTCTCCTTGATTCGTGTTTCCATTGCCCATAGTCATCCTCTGTAGTTTCAAAGACGTCTATCCAGTGCTCGGGTAGACTGTCCTCTTGTCCTTCGAGTGTATCGAGCATCTTGTCTAGTTGCCTACCCAAGTCGCTGACTTTCTGATGAAGCACAAGCGATATGGTATCTACTGCCTTTTTCCACTGCTCAAATGCAGCGTCGGACGTGTCTGCTGGTGCCTCGATGGCATCCCAGCCTAGCCGCATGGCTTCTTGCGCCGTATCGAGTTCGCGGGTGTAACGCGGGGCTTCGCGGAGGATGGAGACGCGGGCGGTCCACGTGCTTAGGCGGGCTTTGAGCTGGGCGTGGTGCGGTAGGGCGGATAGGAGGGTCTGGGTGATGAGAAAGGAGAAGTCGTCCATGACCTTGTAGTGCTGGCGATTGGCCTCGTAGCCCGCAGAGGACGGCCTCGACCTGCCTGCCGGGTGCATATCCAGCACGTGCTCCTTCAGCTCTTCGACATCAAGCTTCAGCATCTCGTCGGCGATGTCGTCGAGGCGCGCCTCGTGTTGCTCCACCTCGACCGACAGCATCGAACCCCAGTATTCTAATGGCGGCATGACATTGCCCATGTCGGAATCGGCGACGTGCTCCCTGATGCGCAGCTCGATGCTCTTCCTCCTCTGCTCGCGGACCTGGGCGCTGGGCTGCTCGAAGCTGCCCGACCACCCCCATTGCTCAATCTCGGCGCACCATATCTTCAGCCGCTGCGCAGCCTTTGCGACGCGCGATCCCAGATCCCTCTCGGCGGCGGTGAGAGTCTCGATGCAGGAAAACATTTTGTATTCGTCGCGTGTTGTGTCGAACGGCATCGGCTTTTGTGTGAAGGCGCGGAGGGTCGTCTCGGGCGACAGGTCGCGGAGGCGGGTCTCTTCCGAGCTGCCATACGTTCTGCCTCGTCTGCCGGCGGGTGACATGGCTGGTGATGGGACGCGACGGGGTGTGAGGGGCGGGATCATGCGCATAGGCGACCGAAAGACGTCCATGATGGCGGTTGGCAAAAGTTGAAAGAGCGACTGGTGACAAGGAAGGTACAAAGGAGACGAGTCTCAGACAGAGAAGGTGCGGCTGGCTTTGTCGCTATCAATGCGACGGTCAGTAAATCGTGTCCTTTGTCTCCTTCCTGTTGCCGCCGTGTTTGCGCTGCCGGCAGCCCAATGTTTATTGACTGACGCAGTCTTCGCCGAACATCTTGCGCCGTGCACTCTTGCATTGGTTCACCCGCCTTTCGATATGACTAAGCCCAAAAGCGTGCTAGCCGTAGATCACTTTCGGACTCGACTCCTGCGCCCTCACCAACATCGCGTGTTATCGCATCAAATCTGATTAAGATGGTACCTTGATGGACCGCAGAAAATACTTAAGTGAGATGCTCCGCTCGTCGTTCCTGAGCTCTAGTTCTGTCTCTTCTACGCTGCCAAGTGCATCGCGGAATAAGGATGCGCCCATCACGCGTCTCCGCACTCCCCCGCATTCAACTTCACCCGACCATCCTCTGCTCTGTGCCGTCTGCGCAGAACCATATTATACTTTCCACCACCGTTACTTTTCTTCGGACGGCTTTCGGGTCAGCCTCTGGCGACGTGCACGGAACGGCGGCGTCGGTATGCGCGCTTTTCCGATCCGCTATCTGACCGTCAGATTTTGACCGCAGAAGATACGTGCATCGAAGCGGCATCTCTTCCTCATTTCAGAAGCTACCCCACCACCTATATCGTCATTCTTCTCTGCCAAGCACCTTAATGCTCCGCCCCGCGTTCATATCTCTTCGACCTTCCGGAGTGCGTTAGCCAATTGCCTGTATACCTCGCGGTTACGCAGTGCCTGCGTCCAGCTACAGCTACCCGCATGTCGGGATACGATGGCACGAGAGAGCAGGGAACTCGCCAGGTTCACCTGCTCTCAGTAGAAGCAGCTATCCTCGGAATGGAAGCCTTGACGTTATCGTACCGAACGCCGACGGAACTGCCTGCAAGTACTTAAAGTACCATGCAACCTATCGTTGTTCGGTACCCTTCTGCCTCTGTGAAGTGTGCATTTGTCAGTCAATATGAGAACAGCACTTCTAGCGCTCGCTGCCATTGGCGCTCAAGCCTGTCAGCGTGAACGTGCATTCTTCCATCACCCGCATAAGCATGTCAAGAGACAATCCGTCTTCCCTCCAGCTTTGACGCCCAATGAAGAGATCTTGCTGAACTCATTTGATTCCGTCTCGATATCGGAATGGTCATACTACTACAGTATGGCTCTCGGGCTCGATACAAAGTGTGTGCTAACAAAATGCAGCTCATGGCCAGCATTTGGCCGGTCAGAACGAGTCAATGGGTATTTGAATCCGTTCCCGGACCGATCCGACATGCAACTAATCCTTGACACAGCACAGTGGACGGCTGACAAATGGTCTGAATATGGCTTCACGTCAAGGCTCGACGAATACTGTATGAAACTGTTGATAGTCGTTGCGGCGGGCACTAACGAGACGCAGATGTCTTCCTCAACTATCCTGTATCAAACTCGCTACAACTTACCTATTCCAACGGTAGTACTTACACTCCGACCCTCCTGGAAGATGTACTGGAAGAGGACGAGACCACCAGCTATCCCAACAGTGTCCCCGTCTTCCATGGCTACAGCTTCACAGGCAACGCATCTGCAGAATACGTTTACGTCGGAAGAGGCCAACAGGTCGACTTTGACCGCCTCGAAGCTCTTGGTGTCGAACTTGAGGGCAAGATTGCTCTAGCAAAGTACGGTGGTCCATTCCGTGGGCTAAAAGTAAAAAATGCACAGGATCACGGCATGATTGGTGCTGTGATCTTCACCGATCCTGGTGATGACGGCAATATGACTGAAGGTGAGCGTGTTTGACCTCTTCCCAGGACTACCCATTAACGATTTTCAGCGAAGGGAGTGGCTCCATACCCCTACGGCGGAGCGAGGAATCCTTCAACCGTTCAACGCGGATCTGTCCAGTTCTTGTCTACGTATCCCGGCGACCCAACTACTCCAGGCTACGTCTCCAAGCCAGACTCCCCACGCGCAGATCGCACCGACATCACCCCGCAAATTCCGTCACTGCCTATTTCCTGGATTGAGGCTCAACCGCTTCTCCAAGCCCTCAACGGCTTTGGAACTAACGGCACCGAGGTCAACAGGACGCGTTGGGTTGGTGCTATCCCTGGCGTAGACTACTTCACTGGTGAGGGATCCGGCGCATCGCTTTCAATGAGCAATGTAATGAACGACACCTACGGTACCATCTGGAACGCAGTCGGCATCATCAACGGTACGAACGAAGACGAGGTCGTCATTGTGGGCAACCATCGTGACGCTTGGATTGTTGGTGGTGCTGCCGACCCCAACTCCGGATCCGCTGTACTCATCGAACTTGCCAAGGCATTCGGTGCTCTTGCCGAGACAGGTTGGAAGCCAATGCGAACCATCGTTCTCTGCAGCTGGGACGCCGAAGAGTATGGTCTTGTTGGAAGGTAAGACTAGAAAATCACATGCACAGCCAGGATACTAAATACTTGTAGTACTGAGTGGATGGAGGAGTATATCCCTTGGCTGAAGAACGCCGCAGTGTCCTACCTTAACATCGACGTCGCTGTCAGTGGACCAATCCCAGACGTTTCCGCAACCCCAGACCTACACGCCATCGCCACCAGCCTGATGAAGAAGGTCGTGTATCCCTACCGCAACGACACCGGTCTCACCATGTACGATGTCTGGTCGCACGAAAGCGGTGAAGTCGGTGTACTCGGCAGTGGTAGTGACTATACCGCTTTCCTCCACCGTGGTATCGCATCCATCGATATGGGTGCTGGCGGAGGTCAGTGAGATTTCTGTACAAATGTATAAGACAGATACTGACTTCATACACCCATCCCTAGGTCCAAACGATCCCGTTTACCCTTACCACAGCAACTACGACTCCTACCACTGGATGGCCACGTTTGGAGACCCTGGCTTCGTCACCCACAAGGCGATGGGCCAGTTCCTCACTCTCCTCTTGTACCACATGGTATCCGACCCCGTCCTGCCCCTCGAGCCAGCAGATTACGTCTCAGAGCTCAACACTTACCTTGAAGCTCTTGAAACGGACATCAGCAGCAGCAACTTCACCGTTGACCTTACAAACCTCACTGCCGCTATCACTCAATTCGAAACCTCTGCCCAGGAGTTTGTCGATCTGAGAGATCAAGCTGTTGCTGCGAATGACACGGAGCTCATCACTGTGCAGAACCACAAGGCGAGGGACTTCTCCCGGGGCTTCACTTCGCAGGGTGGACTGCCTACCAGAGAGTTCTATCAGCATACTATCTTCGCTCCTGGGCGCGATACTGGATACGCGCCTGTAACGTTCCCGGGTATCACCGAAAGCATCACGTTTGATCAGGATGCGGAGTTGGCGCAGGAGTGGGTGCAGAAGACTAGTGACGCGATTTTGGTGGCTGCTAGTATCCTGAAGACCTAGAGAGTCGATCTAAACGCAATGCTGCGATGACGAGTTCGGTGGTAGTGGAGGGTGGAGGAGATACCCTAGTAAAGGCCTTCGTAAGGAAGAGATAAGTCGTCAGTAGTAGAAAGAATAATGATAATGTATGCTGCAGACTCCAGACCTCACCTCTCCCTCTACTTCACAACAGCAAGCAAGAACCCATCGTAGGACTTCTCCCCCACCGTCTGCAACACCACACCATCCAGCCTCTCATCCCTCCCCACATTCTCCACCACCCTCTTTGCCCCTGCAATCCTCGGATCATCCGTCTCTTCCGCTAACTGCCCCTTGCGCACCACATTATCTACAATAACACATGCACCCGCCTCACACATACCCAGCGCTATATCCACATAGTTCCAGTTATTCTCCTTATCCGCGTCGATGAAGACGAAGTCGAATTTCGGCCTCTTGCCGTCTTTAACCTGCTGTGCTAGAGAAGGAAGAACCTCCATACCAGGTCCTAGTATAACGTCCACTTTGTCTTCCAAGCCCGCGGTCTGGATATTCGACCGTGCGACATCGGCGTGGTGGCTATCGACTTCGACGCTTGTTACGCTCACGTTGGGGCTGGCTGTTGCGAGCCAGATGGTGCTGTATCCGCCCAATGTGCCTACTTCGAGGATGATTTTGGAACGTGCGAGGCGTGCGGTAAGTTGGAGGTATTTGCCTTGGGAGGGCGAGACGGCGATGTCTGGGAGACCGGCTTTCTGGGAGGCGTCGAGGGCGTGTTGGAGGGCGGATGGGGAGGGGCTTGTGCGCGTGGAGGGGTGGAGGTGGCCGAACGAGTAGGTGTCTACGGCTGTCCATCGAGGGTCTTTCTCATGGGATTGACCTGGCTGCGGCATGGTGAGGATGCTACTAGAGCTTCGGGTATGGAAGTTAGTTGATGGTTAGTTACGCGTTCTGGATGCGCGGATTGACGCGTCTTTATAGAGAGATCATGTCGGTTCAGTCGGGCATGCCAGATGTGACTCGTATCTCATAACGCATCTGCCTAAAGAGCATTAAGCAATCATTGGATAGCATCGAGGCGGGGTGGTGGAAGAGCATTCAGCCAGCTCGCAGAAGCTCGCTATGGGGCGATCTGATAAGCACAACTCCGAGCTTCGATCTCCGATATCGCCGAGCATACGCAAGCAGTCCACGAGGCAAGCACGCGAACCAAGCAACATCAACAGAGGGAAAGTAACGATTGTATCATTCAATACGCCTTCGCCATCTCACCTACATACTCATTGATCGCCTTCCGAATATCCACCTTCTTCACAGCCTGCAGGTCCTTCAACCTCGCGTGTGAAGCTTGGTGCGCGAGCCGTCGCGCTTCCGGGGGCAGGGGCGGAAGTCCTTTGTTCACGTCCAGCGATGTGACACGCGTTACGTGCTTCAATGGGCTAGGCCTGTACGGCCGGTGGAAACCATATGGCATGATGTTGGTCGAGTGAGTGCTGTAAGGCCTGGGTCTGCTGAAGCTAGAGTTGTGACTCACTCTTTGGGACTTGGTGTCGCTAGGCACGCTTTGGCTTGCGCGATGGCTGTTGAGATTTCGCATGGCGTTGAGGATGTGAGCTGAGGTGGATAGATCTGGTTGGGCATTTGACGCGTCGGCTTGTTCCCTGAACGCAGGATGGCAGTCGTTGGCTGATATCTGGCTTGCGCCAGAAGCTCGTAACTTGGCGTTGGAGAGTTTGGCTTGCAACTTCTGGTCAAACTTCCCCACCAGAGTGGTGTTCATTGTGGAGTGGGATGTTGTTCTGCTGATTCGCTTCCAGAGGCCTACAGAGGATTCCTTAGGACCTGGTGAGTTTGGTCGTGTGTTTTCTTGGAGGCTGTCGTATTTCCTCTTTGGCCTCAGCCAGGATAACATTGTAGGTCTCATCCTGGTGACCTGCATACCAATTTCCGCTTTCGAAAAGTCGACCGAGTCAGCTGAAGAATCGGATGAGAAACATGATCGGGATATCTCATGGTCTTCGCTGGAACGTCGATCATCAGACTGGTCTTGATCTTCGACATCATCCTGTCTGAGTGGTGGCTCCGTCGTTCCATTGATCTTCACAGTCTCTGGAAGATTTGAGGGTTGGGGTGGACCGTGGTGGCAGACGTCTATGCCGTTGGACTTAAGAACTTCCGCTCCGCAACTTGGCTCACTGGACTGAACTCTATCGTTTCCAACGCCGCTCGTTGTTGAAGCATGCCCTTCTTTCCCGAGTGTCGACACGTCCCATTCAACAATTCCCGATCGACGTACAGAAATCCGCCATGTACTGTTGCGCGCGTCCGATTCCCCGACAGCTGTAACCTCTTCTTCCACGAGATCATTTTCCGGGAGATTGCCATCATCAGGCACATATCGCGATACAAGCTCTGCAATGTCGTCGAAGCTCAGGTTCTTATTGCGGAGCAGGTAGGAGAACCTGAGCCAGTCCAAGTCGCTTGTCGGGCCGAGGGTGACTACCATTGGCGTGCGTGGAGCATCAAGTTGAAGGTCTTGGAGGTATTCGTGTTGCTTCCCTGTCTCCGTGCCGGTGCACTTGTCGCTCTTAGACTTCGGCGTGGTGTTCTGATGGACTTCTAAAGCACTATCTTTTCGTCGGCGACCTCCGCCACAGGATTCACAATTCGCCCAGCAGCCAATATCTTCACCATCGCCGCCTCCCCGAAGAGGCCACATGTCGCCGAAAGTATGGACAAACGGCGAAGGCGAAGATGCCGGCGAGTCGACCTTGCGACGACCATCAAGAAACCTCACCACTCTAATAGAGTCATCGTCGTTACCGACGATCTCATTCATCAATGGCCATTGTTCCTCCTCTTCCCCTCCACAACAGCTGATGCGTTCCAATTCTTTCAATGCAGCTTCGAACCCTGATCTAGCCTCACTGAGCAATCCTCGATCGGGACGCATCGTCTCTCCTTGGTAGACCGCTACGGATCTCACTCTTTCTCCTTTACCGCTCTCTTGCATCTTGCACCGCTCTTCACGTAACCTGATTGCGCACGGTCCGCACCGTACCAGCGTGTATATGGGCCAGTCTTTACTCTGTCCCTCGACTTGCTTTGGATCTATGACTGTATGTAAGACTCCCTTCTGGTCAGCTGGCTTTGAGACTTGAACGAACTCGTCAGGATGACCGCAGATATAGGCACGGCGAAAAGCGTATGGATATGCTGGGGGTGCAGCTATGTGAGTCGTTACAAGCTCAGTCTGCACTGCTACTACTAGTGGGTTCTTATCAGCCATGACTCCTGGTAGATAGTGGGGGGTTTGCCGCGGTACTACTCGGGAAATAACAAGAGTGAGGAATGACACATACAGTTGGATGTTGGTGTTGCAGTTTGTTGGCCACGCGGTCACTATGTTCGGGGCCGACACAACACGATTGTGCCACCTCAACGACAACGACGCACCGCGCACCACCGTGACATAACAGTCAGTATGAAGAGCGGACTTTGCAAACATTTGAAGATGCAGCGACGTCAGTCGTCTTTGTGAGGCGTCGACGTTACGCCACACATCTCGTTCCGTCGATTTAGCGTCGTTCGGGATCACCGTGACTAGGGCTATGTAAGGGTTGAAAGGCTTTTCATTCAATACTATTGAACCCGCCGTAGCAAAGTTCATTATTACGCTGTAACAGGTAACGCCATATCGCCATGTCCATCTTTGTGACGCATCCGTCCCCCGGATATCGGATGTGCAAATGACGCTTCTCCAAAACGACAACGCCGCGCTTGCTAAATGACCAGAAAATTACAAGAAGATCTAGAACCACACCGTTCTCGATAACATCCTACGCACTGTAGTTTTGTCCCGTACTCACGGCTGCATATCCGGCTGGCGCGTGACCCATATATCCCTGGGGGGCCAGCGGATCGTGGCTTGACATCGGGGGGCTTGTTATCGGCGGAGTAGCAAGCGGCTCCATAGCGTAGCTTTGGGGCCGCGAGTGGTATTCTGTGCTTTGTGCCGTGAGTGGCACCATGTCTTCGGGTCGTGTGCTCCACCGTGCCGTATTGCGCATCTCTTCCAACCCCGCGTCGTGCGGCACATGCCCGTGTGCCGCACCCGTCTCGTGCACGGATCCATGAGGACTATGTCCGTGTCCGTGGTGTCCGGGCTCTTCGTACTCCAACGCATATGGTTTCCCGCTCTTTTGGAGTTTCCAGTTGCAGTAGATTGAGCTTAGCTTGTCGCTGACCAGGATGAGGAAGAGGAACACAACGCAAATTGGTAGGAGCGCAGGTGACTCAATGACGGCATGCAATCGCTCGGTGTCGGCCATCAAAGCTAACATTGCGCCCCCAACGCCGAGGGTAAGACTGCGGGTTATGATGGACGTAAAGTCGAAGAGGTCGGCTTTGTGACGGCGAATTAACAAAAGAAATATGATCAGACAGACGAGAAGGAGGCAGAACGACGACCAGAAGTAGAGATAGACGAGCTCGAATCCTTTGAGACCGACCTCGAGGGGACTGTAGTCCTTCAGTTTGTCGACTGGTATCTTCATGCCGAGACCAGTGTATAGGCCGTTGTTGAGAAGGTGAGATACGTTCTTGAGTGCTCCGGGCCAGTCGTCATCTTCCTCGCCCATGTTGTACTCGGTGGTGTTTTGCTGAGAGCAGATGTTTGTAGCGTTACCGACACTCCAGATGGCCGACTGAGCTTGATTGTAGAAGCTCTTGGTCTCATACTTGCTGTCGAGCTCGAAATACTCCAAAAGGTACTGCAGCTTGTCTTGTAGTTTTTGGCCGTCGAGATGATCCGTTTGGCAGTATTGGAGGATGGAAGTAGTAACTTTCCTGGTATTTTTAGCAACGTAGCGGGCCAGAGCAACTTGCTGCGAGCCTTCCACGACACCGACAATAGCAAGTTGAAAGGGAAAATGTAGCAGTGACCAGATTTGCTGACGAATGGTTCCATAGTGACCGTGGGGAAAGTTGTCGAAGTACCTGAGTGCTGTTAGCTCACATGCGTCATATCTTCCATACCTGCATATACTTACAGAGCCCAAATCAACACAAGAACCACGATGATGCACATGATTAAGAAGCATCCCTCGACTTCCAACCCGTGCTTCCCCATCATCCTGCTAACCGTCTTTGTGACACCAATTGCACCCTCGCCAATGACGATGATTGTCAACAAGCTCATGCGCTCCATCAAGTGGGTCTTTTTGAAACTCATCATGCGCCAGAAGCACGATATAGCAACGACTGCGATGGCTTCAAGCACCATGACGACGTACCAAACAAGGTAGACTAGGCGTCTACGATGATCGCCCTCAACCTTGAAGGCGGGTGTCATGCCAGCGAATGCACCCATACTGATCGCATAGACGGCGAACATAAGAATGATCGGGAGGTAGATCTTGGTGTACTTCGCTCTCCAGGTAAAGAAGAGTACCACCAGATATTGGATGGCGAGAAGACCGCGGCTTATGACTAGGGTGTAGCATAGGATACGGAAGTTCTATGGGACTTAGTATATCTTCTCCTCGATGTGGGTAATAAACTTACAGTGTTGTTTCCTTGGCCTTTCGCGCTCGCTGGGTTGAACTGACTTCCGACTAGCGCCAGACCGACAAAGACGATGAATTGAATCGTTTTGCACACGCGCTCATAGAGCGAATCCCGCGCAAACCGTACATCGTGAAGTGTGATCTGGAACCAACACGACCACAATATGCCAAAGAAACCGATGTATGCCAGCAGATAGTCGATGTCGGTAATAGAGTGGTAGGCTGTAAAAGTCGCAAGATTGGCAACAAAGAACAAGTCGAAGAAAAGTTCAACGCTATTCGCTTCGTGCCGTTGAGAGAAGACGAGGTGTTCGTGATCGGCACCAACTAGCGGGGATTCGATAAACGGTGTTGTCTTGTGCAGCCGTCTAAGATGCTTTTCCGCATCAACATCGCGTTTGTGGCCGTGAAAAGTCCAGCCCATGATGCCAATTTCCCACAAAGTCGACGAGAAACAACCACAACTCAACTCCAACGGTCAGGAAAGGAGCAGCGAGGTTAAATCAAAGACAGACGGACAAGACTACCAAGACAAATACGAGCTGCTTTCGGCGCCGCAGTGAGTCTTATGCAAATCCCAATTCGCATACTACACGCGACACGAGATAGCCCCGCAAGCTATGGCGCATGTTCTATCTTGGGGCTGGAGGCCCAGGCCGCAAGTACGGTTCCGCCTTGAGTCCGCTAGCAACGGTACCAATAGCACCGCATAGCGGCGCGTTACACGGGTGTCGCTGGCGGAGCACGCATGGCGGGTTAGGTCGTGCTAAGCCGGAGGAAGCTTTCACCACCAAGCCTGCGCGGGTCGGGCTCAGCAGCAAGCCAGCGCAACAATGCTGACAGCGCTATCGTGAATCGGAAGAGCACAGATGCTGGAGTACTGGTTGTAGCGTACGTCGGTCCAATCATTGCCTCCACGTGAGGCTTGGCGCGCTGGTGTGTCGAATTAGACGGTGTGGAAGATAGGAGAGTCAGCTCAGCCCTGAGATCCGTAGACGGGCCGCTAGCGGTGCAGGCGTCCAGCGTCGAGTCTGTGGCGGAGGTGCCTCGCCAGCTAGCCTCTTCGTAAGACGAAGTCATCGCTGCAGCAGTTGAAACGCATCTTTTTGTCGTGCATTGGTAGAGGTGCTGCAGTAACACTCGTACGCAGCTCACGATCACCCGTCCGCAGCCGCTCAGCTCGGCGTTCTACGTTGCCTCTACAGCGCCCTTTTGCATCCACAACCTCTTTCCGGCAACCATCAAACCTCACCAAGCCTTGCGCAGATATCACTTCCTCCTCGCTCCCGGTCTTACACGCCCCGCTCACCCTTAGAAGCTCGCAATACTGGGCCGAACGTAGTACCCGGTGATCCAGAGGTGCATGCTCATGCACCTCACGCCCCATCTCTAACAGCTCGCCTGATGTGCTTACATGAGGCCCGCTATTTGCAGACGGGAGGAACCGCAAATACAGCCATCCTGACCCCCATTAAGTAGACATACCGTGCTTGCCTCACCCATGGACAAATCTCACAGATCGTCATGTGTCCTCCGACTTGGAAAACGTTGTTTGCCTGTAGTCACCGCAACAGTCACAACGGATGTTCAGAGAATATTGATATTGTATTGGCTGAAACCACATCCAGCAAACGATTTCTAGATCCACCATATGAACGCCGCGCTGATAGACAAGGTTCGGGGGGCCTTAGCCATGCAAGTATGCTGTAAAATGCAGCAGGTACGATGAAGTCTTCACTTCCGTATCAGACCAGTCCGTTCATTCGCGCCCTCGCCAATCTCCTCCTCTTCATCTTCGTCTTCGCTATCATCTTCGCTCCACCCTTCGGCTTCCAGTCCATCGCCACGAATACCGAAGCTCAAAAGGAAACCGAGGAGTGCGATACCAGCGAAAATGCCAAAAGGCAGGGCTTCACCTTTCGGCTTCAACTTGGTAGCT